AATAGTTGTCACTGATATTTATGACGTGTCTCTCAGTATTGATTTTGTATCCGAGGGCCAAACCATTCAGTCACCTGCTGTTAAAGTTGGCTGTAATTTTTTTTACCAAAAGAAATATATATCTATTAGCTGTGAACCAGACAGTGTTTATTGCGGTGGCGTGTTTTCAGCTGGTAAAGTAAAATTGTCCCTGTGCTTAAGTGATTAAGCACTAGGCCATGAAGGCGTATGGGGGAGTGGATGTATAGATCCACATTTTCTTGACCTCAGCACTAGTTGGAAGGGAGTGTTCAGCTTCAGGCCCCTGCCGCTTTACCGCACGGAGAAAGCGCCCCCCGTACCCATTTGATAGGAGGCTGTGTGGGCCCCAGTGCCGTTCTGGACGATATGGAGAAGAGAAAATTCTGACTACCGGGACTCGAACTCCAACCCCTCGGTCGTCCAGCCCATAGGCAGTCGCCATACCGACTACGCTACCCCTGCTCGTTCCCAACTGGAGAAAAAGAAAAATCAGAGCTTTTTGAAGGAGTTTATTTGTATGGGAAATATTTCCCCAAAACGTTTCCTCCAGAGCGCATCGGCGCTCATGGCGTGTTGTAATTCTACAGAGTTTATAATTTCGCCATAAATATAGGTTTCTTAGCATGCCAGTCGTATAATCGCAACACGATTTCATTGCCAGTTTCCAGAACCCTTGTTACGGAATGTGCTTCTCTACGATCCTGTCTCAAGGCTGTCCGATGCACTTTCTTATTTGACATTTTGCCTTTCAGACCCACCCTGAGTGCCGCGCAGTCACGAAGGCTAACTGGATACAATCTAAGATATACAAGTAGTAGAGGCAAACAGGTTACATAACAGAACTAGGTTCGTCTCAGTTGCATGAAATATCGGTCTCTCTGTTTCTCCGACTAACGGTTTCCTTACGATTGGTTAAGGCGCGTCCACATTACTCGTGCTCGTGCTTGTGCTCGTCGGGAGACTCGTCTGGCTTTTACTTGTGCTCGTAAATCTTCGTCCACTACTACTTCAGTTGCTCGCCAGACTTCGGCTAGTGAGGATCCGTATATTTACTCGTAGTGTGTATAGGCTGTAGTCGTATTTTAATTTATTGGCTATAGTTTTTCGATTAAAAATTTAAAATTTGCTTCTCTCGTGGCTTGTCATGTCGTCCACATTACTCGCGAGCATAGCGAGTCACACTAGCACAAGCACGAGCACGAGTAATGTGGACGCGCCTTTAGAGACGAAAGGAACGCAACATACACACATACCGATCTACGCTCTTGTGAAGACTTTTGATTGATTGATCAGTAACTGTCAGATGACAGGTCCACAGTCTCTTCCAAAACAATTCCTCCACTTAATGTGATCTTCTGTTTTTGGAAAGAGACTGTCCAGGAAAAGTGATAATGTGGTAGTTTTTCCATTTGCTTTCCACATCGCAGTACAACAGCCGTTCAAACCACTCTGGTCACGCCTGTTGCTATACGAACTTGAACCATCTCGAGCATCATTTGTTCTGTGCTTCAAGTCGCTGCTGATGACGCTGCTTCCGGCATCATCAGACTTTTATCCCCCCAAAAAATCTATTCATCCAAAAGGGTTTTGTTTATGATTTTAGAATAGTAAACTTAGTGACTGAGAGTTTTTCTTTACAAAAATACATTTGAAATAATTTTGACATGAAGTAAAGGGGGCACGCCGTAGCGTGGTTGGTTTAGTCACTATTCTACAAGGTGGCACGCCGCTTGTTCGATTTCCGATGAGGTCATTGGATTTTTCAATTGACCTAATCTTTCCAGCAGCACTATTGTCCTGAGGTCGACTAAGCCTCTAACAGAAATGAGTACCAGGCATCTACCTGGGGGTAAATGTCGGTCGGCACGTAATGCTGGCACCTCACCGCCAACTGTGAGTCGATTATGTAGAAAATGTGGGAGTCTCGATGCCTCACATCTCAATGGGCTTCCACGGCCTGCTTTAATTCTTTTTGCCATGAAGTAGTGTGTGTATTCTGCATTAAAGCTTCTCATCCATTTTCTATACATTGACCTACATCAGAAATATTTTGAGGACCTCCTTCTGGGCCCATAATAAGGTCTGTTAATGAAGCTCCACATTGTGTACTTATCGCCTTGGTGATTGTCCTAAAGCGTAATTACTGAAATGTGCAGAACTATAATTCTGACCGTTGCTTTGTGTGGCTTGAATTCTCACATTGAGAAGAGAATGTAGATCGAGAGTTTTGAAAACAGGGCGCTAAGTAGAATATTTGGACCTGAAAGGAAGTAACAGGAGGCTGGAGAAGACTTCTTATAGATGGAATTCTAATAATTTGTACCCTTCACAAAATATTAGTACAGTGATGAATTCTCCGGGCGTCGTTATTCGTCGTAAGTCTTATTTGAGACGATATTCGCGAGACTAGACTCTGTGTCTGTCCTTGGATAGAAACAACCTGCTCTGTTTGTTCAATCACTAGATGTGGTCTCCATCTCATATTTCCTATAGATTATTAAACTCAGTGGCCTTTAGTCCGCAAGTGAACTATACCGACAGAGCGACCGCCGCTTGTCGGCGAAGTTAGTGCCAACTTTAGCGGATAGAAGGTGTCACGTGGTCAGCGCAACGGATCCCCACGACCGTTAAACTCGAGTTTCTAGACCGGAGCCGCTATTTCCTTGAAATAGCTCCTCATTTATCCTCACGAGCCTGAGTGGATCCCGTTGCAGACCCACTACTTCTGAGAAAATCTGGTACCGCCGGGAATTGAACCAGGGGCCTCTGGATCTGTAGCCAGGAACTCTGAACACTAGACCACAGAGGCGGTCTCCTATATATTATTATTATGATGAAAATCAAGTAGGTGAAAATGTATGGAGAAGTTGGCACGCAGAGGATAGGTGAGGAATGCGTAGGCCTAAACAGATTTTTCGCAAAACTTGAAGGGAAAGGAATGCTTGCGAGAAATAGGCATAAATGTTAGGATAATATTAATCTTGAGCTTAAAGAAATGGTATATTTGGATGTAGAGTGGATTTGTGTGGCTTCGGATAGGGAGCAGAGCGGTATGCTGTGAAGACGGTAATGATCCATGATATGTATACAGTGACTGTCTTGTAGTGCACTCAGTTTCACCTGTTACTTCACGACATGTTTCGGCAACATAGTGCCATCATCAGGTGCCCTAATTACTTTAATCTATTGCATTGCTTTCCCTCATATAGCTTCACAACACCATTTAAAAAGTATTTAAAAAGTGCGTATTTGTCAACTATAATGAATTACACTCACTAAAACTTGTTAAGATTATTTATCTTATGTGTCTTAATTAAAACTTGCGTGTGGTTCATTCACTATGGGGGTCGTTTTTCTTATTTTCTATGTAAACCGTGTCTTGTGATGTATGTTCCCTTCTTAGCTGCGAGTGTTGTGGCACTATGTTGCCGAAACATGTCGTGAAGTAACAGGTGAAATTGAGTGCACTACAAGACGGCCACTGTATACATATCATGGATGAAAATCAGTGCAACAGGACGCTAAAATACAACATGATGGTAATGATGATTTGGTACAGGAAATGCGAGCAGTCTCCTCAGTAGGTGAGCGACTATTAATTTCTAAATGAGAAGTCTGCGTCTTGGAATTAGGCTGTTTCAAAGCATATTTCTCTGAAATATTACAGGAATATTTATACACAGTGGATTATACCGTATGCGTATAGGATTAATTAATATTTATGACAGTGATGTGTGCAGTCACATAAGGAGCTACTATATACGGCCTGACAGGCACGCAGATGTGGTACTGAGTTTTCAGACAAGGAACTCTGCTCTTTGGGGATATAAATAATTAAGGCGGTGAGAATTCCCAACATTACAGGAAAATACCACCAACATATAGGTTATTTTGCAAAATATTATCAAATTTATCAAAAAAAAGAGAAGGAGATAGGTGTGACACATAACACGCATGGAGAAACGAGAGATCTGTATAGAATTTTAGCTGAAAAATCTGAAGTGTTGAAAGCTCTTGACAAACTTAGGCGTAGATTGGAGTTTAGTATTAAAACAGACCTAAAATGAACGGGATATACGGTTGTGCACTGGATTCATGTGGCAGAGCATAGCTTACAGTGGCGGGCTGTTGTGAATACGGCAATGAAATTTCGGGTTCTGTAAGAGGCGGGAAATCGCTTTGTCAGATGAGCGACCGCTAGCTTCTCAAGAAGGACTCTTGCTTCGTGGAGTTCGTTACTTAGTTACGTATGTTAAGCACGGCCCACAAGTTAATCAGTGGCTTCCTGGTTCCGCATAGTTCTATGCACCCCCGCAGACATCTTCACGGAGGAGTTGGCAGTACAAGTTCGTATGTATGCACAATGGACGTGTTTCTTTAGCTTGTGGCTAGTAGCGAAGGTTCAGTTAACAATGATCCCTTTATGACCCAGGAAATGGGATAGCAGCATATCAGGAAGTTTTAATATCTTTATGGTCTCCAGTCTGTTATTTAAATGTGCCCATCCAGTGTGTATTTCCAGTAGAATCAATATTATGGCGAGGTACTTGAATAGGACTGCAAGGGAGATGAGTCTAAATTTAAAATTAAACGAGTTTGTAATTAAGGAAACAAAGAATGAAAATTGTTACGTGCAGGAGATTATATGGACAGTGTTAGACAGATATTCTGATGTGATGATGATAGCTAATAAATAAATGGAAAATGTAACAAATTCCAGAAATTTGGGGAACGATATTGACATATCAAAATGGCATTCACAATTAATATAAGGGATGATTAAATTCTGGAAATGCTTGATACGTTGCAGTTCAGAATTCTCACGTTTTCTAATTCGTCATTTGCAAAATCACCTTTCTATTCGACGCTACATAATCTGTTCCAGTGAAGCAGCATGTTTGAGTAAACCATCAATCAGCCAGGCAAGCAAGACAGCTAACAATACTCTTTCAGAAATGGAATATGAAGAGTAGTACTACCTGCCAAGAGGTTCCAAGACAACAGAAGTCTCTTTCTCTTCATGTCTTCTTACAGGATCTGAAACAGCCAAAAGAACCAATCAGACTTCAATCCATCGATATAACTATACATAAAGATAAAGTTGTCCTTGTGCTTAACTAATTAATCACTACGCCATGAAGGAGTATGGAGGAGTGGATGTATAGATTCGCATTTTCTTGATCTCGGCACTAGTTGGAGGTGAGTGGTCAGCTTTACGCCCCGGCCTCTTTACCCCCGGTACCCATTGGATAGGAGGCTGTGTGGACCGCAGTGCCGGTCTGAACGACGTGGAGAAAAGAAAATTCTTGTCCTTACTGGGATTCGAAGTCCTACTCCTCGGTCGTCCATCCCGTAGCCAGTCGCTATACCGACTGAGCTATCTCGGCTCCATCTAACTATACATAAAGGATCTCAAACTGAACTTCTGAAAAAAGATAAATTTCGCACTCTTTTAAGATCCATGCCTTTTTGTTTTATATGTATTTCTCTATGTTTTTCATTTAAGAAGTTATGAAGACATCGTTTACATTTTATACAGTGCAATATCTGTAGCGTTTTGAGCTATGACAGCAGCGGAATCCGTCGTTCTTCACTGACTCCATGCATTCTGAAAGAACAAACATTCCATTTTCGCTTTCCAGATATTCCGTAATGAAATTCATTAAATGGGATTGAATTTAGAATTCTGGGGAAGTAAGACTGGAAATTAATTATAAACGTAAACTCTTGTCTCATTAAAACTAATTTATAGAATTTGTAAGCAGGATTTTCTTCCACTTGTTAAAATAGCCTAATTTCTAGGCTTCGCTCTTGTTACACATCTCGCTAATGCGGTTCATAACTCATTGTTTTATCATCGGTGACGTTTCGTAGGATTAATTACTCAGTAGTTTATAGTTGTGTTTCATATTATTGCAGTTATGGGCCTCGAAAATTTTATGCCATCTTCTTTCTAAAAGTCCAAGGGAACATTACGTTACATGGTTTATTCTTGAGAAACCACTAGTGGATCATGTAGTCAGGAAATTCCCCATCTTTATAGAAACCAGAATTTCCGTCCCATATTCCCACCCAAGTACAAGTTCAACTTGTACAGCGAATGCCTTACCAAGGAAGCTCTGGATAGGCTCGGTGACTTCAAAGTAGGAGGGCAAATTATTCAAACTGTGAAATATGCAGATGACCTTGTGTTAATGGCTAAGGAAGAAACTGTGCTACAGGGCATGATTGATAGACTAATTGAAATCGGAAGGTGCTATGGCATGGAAATGAATGTGGAGAAAACAAAAGTAATGAAAATTTCGAGACAACCAACCCCAGTCACAATAAAGATAGACCAAAAACAAGTGGAGAATGTGAAATGTTTTAAATATTTGGGTAGCTTGTTAACAGATGATGGAAGGTGTACTTGTGAAATTAAATCCAGGATTGCCATGGCAAAAGCTGCATTTAGCAAGAAGAAGAATCTTTTTACCAGCAAATTGGACTTAAATTTGAGGAAGAAACTAGTGAAATGCTACATTTGGAGCATAGCTCTGTATGGGGCTGAAACATGGACACTTAGGGCAGTAGATCAGAAACATCTGGAAAGTTTCGAAATGTGGTGTTGGAGAAGAATGGAGAAGATCAGTTGGACCGATTATGTGAGAAATGAAGAAGTGTTAATTAGAGTCAGTGAGCAGAGGAATATCCTACATGAAATAAGAAAACGGAAGGCTAATTGGATTGGTCATGTTTTACGCAGAAACTGCCTTCTAAAAGAAGCTATCGAAGGAAAGATAGATGGGCGGATAGAAGTGACAAGAAGACGAGGAAGAAGACGTAAGAAGATGCTGGATGACCTTGGGGACAGAAGAGGATACTGTCATTTGAAGGAGAAAGCTCTAGATCGCATTAAGTGGAGGAATTGTTTTGAAAGAGACTGTGGACCTGTCGTCTTGACAGATTACTGATGATGATGATGATTCCCACCCAAGCTCGAGGCTTTATTCAGGATTTTGTAATGTGTCAGTTTTTACGATGAGTAATTTTTTGCTTCGTGTCAAACCCCTAGACTGGAGGATTACTTGACTTATTTTAAAAAAATTGTTTGCTGAAAGATAAGCATCTGGGAGATGACGCTTGCTCGTTGTGACTTGAGATTGGCCGTGACCCGGCCAGAGAAAGCGATCCACCTATATTTCTCAATATATTCTACTATGCAACAGAGTTTAATACTTTACAAACCTAAGATCAGAACGCTATTCTGGTGCCTTGTTTATCCCGGTAGTCTAATCCACTTTCATAGGTTCAAAAAATGGAGGATCTATGGTTGTGTTCTCTCAAAATTCTGATCTTTATTTCGTGTTATTTCCGAAACAGTAACTTTATTTTTACCAACTTTCTATTCGTACAAAGACAAAAATAACACCGTCCAGTGTGACTATTTAAGTTTTATCACTTGAACACTCATTAGTGTAAACAACACAACAAGCCACGAATAAACACGGACAATACTAAGAATCTCCTTTCTCAAGATAGACAGGCGGCACAAGATCAGCCACCTCCAAGAAAGACAATAGGAGAATTGACACGAACCTGTATGGTTTATAAACTTTAATCTTAAACAACAAAATTTTTAAAAAACTTTAAATTTTAATACCAGGAAGGCTGTTATGACTAGGGAAAGTTGAACATTGTGTACATTGTGTATTTCAGACATTATATGTGTGTGTATATAATTTAACACCTATTGTAATAGTAGTTTCCGGAAAAAGTATTGATGCCCTCTGAGGATGATCCGCAGGGATCGAAACATGTAAATGTGATGAGTTTTCAAGTGATAAAACTTAAAGTCACATTGGACGGTGCTATTTTTGTCTTTGTAATTGTTAGTGTGACGGACCAGAATGAAACAAATCAAATTTCTATTCGTCTTTGAAATTTTGAAAGTGATTCTCACTCATCTTATCCCCATATTATAATTAATTGCTGTGATTAAAACGTGTAGACGTGTAGTGTAATGAGGCTAACAACATTGGCTATCATGAAATTGAAAACGTATAAATTTATGATATATTAACATGCAATGATAGAGAATACTGGGCTGAAAAATATACACTGCACATTCAACAGCCGCATTCGGCAGAAGGAAGTAAAAGTGTAATAATTAAGACTAATATGACCTCTTCTCTTATAATAAATAAGCATTGTATTCACATGTATCTACTCGCTGTTAGGTGCTGGCACTCACAGTGGCGAGAAGTCAATATACTCATACAAGCCTACTGGAAAACCAGACAGTCAGCATTAAGACTTTAGGCCTTACTGTTACTACACATAAACTCCGTGGCTTGAGTCTGCAAGCAAACTATACCGACCGAGCGACTGTCGTTTGTCGGCGAAGTTAGTGTCAACTTTAGCGGATAGAGGATGTCGCGTGGTCAGCGCAAAGAATCCCCACGGCCGTTAATTTCGGGTTTCTAGACCGGAACCACTATTTCCTTGAAATATCTCCTCAATTATCCTCACGAGGCTGAGAATTAAATATAGATCTATATATAATAGTTATTATTAATAGTTAATAGCCGTATTGTAATAGATATATGCTTGATCTGGAGCTATGTCTCCACTACACGAAACGTATCCATTGCATGGTGCTTAATTAATTAAGCACAGGGACAACTTTATAAGTATTGCTTAATCCTTAAAATCAAACCGCAAAAGAGGAAGAAAGTATGGGTGATACATTGTCAGAGAACAATATGTAAATCTTGAGTTTATATCAGACTCATTATGAAATGTGCTCTGAAGAAACCAATGGAGTAATGTGATTATTGATATTTTTATCCATGTTCGTGATTTCTGTTCTTTCTGATTGAAATAATTAAGAAACTATATGCATATCCGTTTTGTGTGTCTGTAGGGCTTCGTCCCATGACCTGAGAAGAAAATTAAAATGAATACTATTGAAAGTAGAGTGATTAGGGAAAATTCTGAACGTGTCGGATGTGAATAAGTAACTGAGGGATAGAGAAAATTATGCAAAAAGTGAAATTTTACTTTTCTTCCGGAATAATAACCCCAAATAACTGAAGCCGAGTCTGTAATGAAATGATAATAAATAAATGCGCGATTTTCACGGCAAAAATAAGTAATTTGGAGGCCCAACAACAGAATAATAATTTTGAAACTTATTTCAGTGTAATGAGAAGTGTGTATGGGAAATAGAATTGTGCTGTGTAGATGTACGAACTAATGTGAAGATGTGTTGTAGCAGTGACGAATAAGGAGTCCAGTTAAACAAACGGAACGTGAATCTGTTACATGCTCGAAATCAGAATAGCGCGTTTCATTTGAACTACAAGGCGCGTGTTACCCGCCACGGAGAAAGTGAAAGTGCTTTGTGCTTATGCAAAATGTGAGCTGACTTCCGTACCGCCACGTTCGCCTGTCCATTCAGTCGAACGATATTACGTTCAGAACTGCGTAACCTGACAGAGCGTAGGGTGGAAGTGGCAGACACGTATTTCGGATTAAACGAGACGCGATGAAAGGTAGAGAGACCTCGAAAGTGGCCATTCTGAAAACCAAAACGAAAGTGGCAATAGGTGATAAACTGGATCTACACACGTTAATAATAGAAGTTCGGATCAAATGCTGCGGTCCAGTGGTTAGTACTCCTTTATATTTGGAAGATTTCAGGTTTATGTCTCTTTCAGGGGACCGGCTATCCTGATTGAGGTTTTCTCAGTCCCTCCAAAAAACGCCAGGATATTCCCTTTCATATTTCTTTCAATTCATTATGCATTAACCATACAACACTCTACAGCCTGAGTTATTGACTATGGCATTAAACAAACAATTTATAAACAAAATATGGAGTAGCTAAGAGGCCCCATGGAGGGTATAAATTGTGGTCTCTTCTTTTCATATTCTCTGTTCCTTGATAAAATTATGTTATTAAACAGATTCCTTGTAAGATTTGAGGCTTTCACGGCGGTGACTATGAAGAAAGCAGTCTTCTGGGATTTGCACCGTGTATATGTGGTGTTAAC